CCCCCCCCCCCCCCCTTTTAGATTGTAAGCCCCCAGGGGCAGGGCCCTCCTTACCATCTTGTCTTGAATTGTATTGTGATTGTAATGTCTTCCTTATATTGTAAAGCGCTGCGCAAACTGTTGGCGCTATATAGATCTTGTATAATAATATTCGGCCTTTAAAACATCCCTTTCTTTCCTGATGAAGCAGAGGAGGCCCTAACATAATGCATTCCAATTCCCCAAAATGATTTTTGACTGAAAGAGCATGATACCTTCTTTTTATACTACATCACAAAACACTTTATTTTTCAAGCCTCAACATTCAAAGTAAAACATCAATCAATACTTGCATGACATCAGCAGCCTTAACAAAGAGGCTCAAAACCAGATTCCAATGTTAAAAACCACCATAGCTGATGTTAGCAGGTTTTGTAATGCATTTAATTATGGCAGGCAGCCTTCTGAATGTCAATATGCCATTACCACATTCAGAAGAAGCTGGCACTCTTTGGTTTCTGAGTACAGAGCAATCTACTGAGTGTCTGCACACGGATATTTAGTTACACATTTCCTGCACCGTGTGCTTGATTTGCTGCATCAGCAATTGGCGATTTCATTCATCTATTACGTTTTGTGTTCATCAGCAGAAAAAGCAGTTACATTAAAAGTGTGACTGTTGAAATTTGATTCTTAGAGATTACACTATTATTTCATAGGACTGGTCAATAAAGTGTACTGACCTAGCACTTTTTTCACCCTCACATTTCTTGCAATTGGTAGCTGCTTCATGTCCCTTTTGTTTACCAGTCTGACAAGCATTCCACAGAAAAGAACAGGTGGTCTATCTGTGAGCCAGAAAGTTAAGAGTAATATTAGAGATGAGAGCTATAGAGGGGTAAACAAATGTAGAGCAAGAATTAAGAAGCCAGACAGATATGTAGTGGATGGAGATCCTAGAATGCAGGAAAGCAAGAAAGAAGGAAAGGGAATCATTAAGTGTACAGATGTTTTGGTGAATGTGAGACTGATTCACTGAAGTGTGTATGTCTGATCTTTACAGCACAGCGGCATGTCTGGCCTTAAAGATAGTTCCGGAGGCTTCTAAGAGCGAGCAAATGAAAATCACGGCCATTTACCTTCTAAATGTTATTTTTAAACTGGAACTGACAATCACACATCAGTGCATTCAGCCCAACAATTAGTAGCAAAGTCTCGAGCAATGTGAGCAAGGTAATAATTAGCTTTAATGTGGCTGAAGGTGCAGCCTTGTGAGCATACCGTGGGTGTGCTTATGGATGAAAAGCAGCATGTTCCCATTTCAAACATTTGCTTTGAATCCTACAGCTCCAGACAAAAGGAAGGCAGGCTTATATGTTGTATACAGGCAGTCCCCGGGTTACGAACAAAATAGGGACTGTAGGTTTGTTCTTAACTTGAATTTGTATGTAGGTTGGAACAGGTACATTGTTTAGGTGCATCTCCAGCCAAAAAAACATTTTTTTTAGTTTTGAATAGCATAGGGAAGGGTTAACCTCCTGTACCATTTGCTTTGCTGTCTTCACAGTGGCTCTAACCCCACACCATGCTAACCGAAACTAAAAAAATTAAATTTGCATGGAGTTCTACTTTAAATCCAACTTGGACAGATGTTTGTACAATTTCCTGTAATGTACAGTACCAGACCAAAAAGAGGCAGGCACTCCTTGTCTGCATGTCTAACAACTTCCTGTAATGTACAGAAGGTACAGTACTACAAACGAAGGCGCAAGCACATTAGCATTACTACTAGTGGAACAGCCTAGGACCTCCGTTTGTAAGTAGAAGTCGTACGTAACTCGGGGACTGCCGGTATTTTAATAATGCTGGCTTGCACAAGGAGCAGCCCTGCCACTCTAATTGTGGTAGAGTACCCAGATATTCTATCAGTACTATATACAGGTGAAACTCGAATAATTAGAATATCGTGCAAAGTTCATTTATTTCACTAATGCAACTTAAAAGGCGAAACTAATATATGAGAGAGACTCATTACATGCAAAGCAAGATAATTCAAGCCGTGATTTGTCATAATTGTGATGATTATGGCTTACAGCTCATGAAAACCCCAAGAACCCCAAATCCACAACCTCAAAAAAGTAGAATATTACATGCAATCAATAAAACAAGGATTGTACATAGAACAATATCGGACCTCTGAAAAGTACAAGCATGCATATGTACTCAGTACTTGGTTTGGGCCCCTTTTAGAGCACTTACTGCAATTACTTTTGCACGATATTCTAATTATTCGAGTTTCACCTGTATAGTATATTCAGCAAAATATGGTAATTACTTCTATTTACATATTTTGGTTGTTTTTACTGGTTTATAACAACATTGCTGGGCACATTTTTCCAACATACAGGCCACATTACTGAAGGCTTTGCCGTAAGAAGTCTTGAAATACAGTTCAGTGCATCTGCCCATTTGGTATGCCTAGGCGCACTTCCATTTTGTCTATAGTTATTAGCGAGTGTGGCAGCAGACCAACAAAGCAAAAGGTGAATGGTGGGTGGGGGTGTGGGGGTCGCAGTGCTCGGCATGCAGTTAGTGAGGAAAGTTATTATACTGACAGTGGTCTGGGAAAGGAATGCTTCACATAGGGTAAGTAAGGCATCACATGGGAACAGGGTAGGTAGAACTGAATATACTGGAGTAGGTGTGTCTTGGAATCATGTGGATGCTTACTTTATACACATTTTTTAGTTCCTGGTTGTAGCATAATCCTCACCAAGCTAATGAGCAGGAAGGTGAAAATATTCTTAATAAATTCACCTGACCTACTGCTGGTGCTTTTTAAAGTACATAAACTAAAATATGTATGTTGTGCAAGATTGCTATGCCCCAGTTACATATGTTTCTGTTTACTTGTATAAATTACAAAATGTATGACTAAGTACATAGTGTGTGCCATTCTGTACAGTCGGCCTAATGTGCCATTTTACATATAACCCATGGACTACAAGTGGAAGAATAGTTTTGCCCAGTCTAGTAAATTGACACATGCATTTGTCAGAACAATTTTTTTTTTATCAGCAACAAAAAGTAAAAGAAACATGCTTTAAATACTGAGTAATATCTATATAGTAACAAAGATGGAGCCTCTTTTCAAGATATAAAATAGAAGGCAAGTATAAACATTCCTAGATCTCAAAAGCACCAACAAATGAACTAGAACAGACCTGTGGCTCGGTAATGCACAAAGTGCAGTGTAAAGAGTCGTTTTTACCTATGCAAAATGCACCCTAGCTTTAAGGGATATTGCCACCTAAGCCAGATGTCTCATGCTTCAAGATAAAATATTTACTGAAGCTTATGAGATTTATCTCTGAGTAAGCAAGTCAAAAAACCCTAAAAATAGATGTTCCGACAACTGCACAATGTAAACTTGTCAGGGAATTTGTTTCAAGAGACAATTTAACTGGAAAGAAGACCAATCTAAAGTAAGGTAATAAATGCCTTTTCAGAAGAATGTTGGGACAATAACTCTTCTAGACATTTCCAAAAGGAATAAGACCCTAATCCAAACCTGTAAACCTGAATACATCTTTGGTTAAAAAAAAAAAAAGCTGCCACTCTTTTGTGGAGCACATAAAGATATTTTCTAACCTCACTAAATTAACGAGCAACAGGAAATCGCAAGATTGTCAATATTACAATTCCAAATCTAAAATACGTAAATTACTGCATTATGGCCCAAGTATAAAAATAGTATGCTCGTCTAACTAGGGGAAAAAACTGCATACGATCACTCAGTACTAAAGATGCAGTGGTCTTATTAAAGTCTTAGTCTATGTGAACCTATTTCTCAAGATGCTGGTAAATGAGGGGTGCACAGCAACACATATATATGAAAGGGGCCCAGACATGCAGAGGAAGGGGGGAAACATAAGCATCATGTCATCCTTCAGTAGGATAACATGCCTATTTATGTTTAAGCAGTTTTTATTGAGGCAAGGCAAAAGTTTTCATTGTAAAATAAGTACAGAGCGCATGCCACCTCTGTATCAAAAGAAACCTCAAGTGGGAGATCTTGTGCTATAAAGATGCAAACATACCAACTAACATTGCTTAATCTTTAAAAAAAAAAAAACGTCACAGCACACATGGGTACCTTCTATCACAAATAAATTCTGCACCACAAAAATATATAATTAAGCATAATACCAAAAAATGCAAAAGCCCAAGAAAATGTTATACTGTACATTGATCACATTTATCATGTTAATGATGCAGATGAAAGAATACAGTAGAAATATATATCAACAAGCAAAAATTATAATACAAGACAAGTGAGTGAGATAACACAATTGCATTCATTTTCTTCTGTAGAGTATAGAAGTATGGTGCATGAACCTTAAAGAGTGACAGCTAAAGGTCAATGGCTACATCTGTACTTTCACTAGCAAAGTAAAAAATTTACAAATATACAGACTGATGCTAACTGGCATATTATACTTCTTTGACCCCATTCACAGAGGAATCGGCCTGCACATACAGCTCCGTGCAGCGCGCGGGGCCGTACCAAGCAGCTGCCGGGAAGGACAGGGGCTGCGTGCGATTAGTACGCAGCCCCCATCCTTCTCTATGGTGCTACACAGCCGTACGTCCCCTTACGCTGGCCCGCCCTGTACGTCCGTAGGGGTGCGGGTGAGCGTATTCATACGCCACCGGAATGGATCCTGTATGCGTCCTGGCCAAAAAACCTGCACCCCTACGGACCTGCAGTTGAGGTGAGCGTAGGGGGGCGTACGGCCTCGTAGCCCCATAGAGAAGGACAGGGGCTGCGTACTAAATCACACGCAGCACCTGTCCTTCCCGGGAGCTGCTGGAGTACGACCCTGCATGCAGCACGGAGCTTTACGTGCGGGTCGATTCGTGTGTGAATGGGGCCTTACTGCTGCACTAAGAAAATGCATAAGGATTAAAACCTAATATATTGTTCCAACACTACCCACATAATGGTATTGGGCAATGGTGTGATTCATCACTTCTATTTAAGAAAATGGTCATAAAATGATTAAATGTATAAATTTGACCCAAATCAATAAAACAACTTAATTAACGCATGGAAGATAATAAAAGACACCAAATTAATGCAGCTCTGTCATCATTAATACATCACTAAATGTATGTTAAATTTAAGTAGTGTAACTACACCACAATGTTCTATTTACTAACACGGTAACAGTGACAGCCATTAAGATTAGATGCAAAAACATTTATAAATATAACTCAAATATTGAAAAATACCCCTGAGCAAAATTGACATGAAATCTCCCATAACAGGGCACAATTGGTGTTGGTTTTGGCATGTGAAATGTGTATTTGTATGAACACAAATGTTATTTAGCTATACAAATGTTTAATTTTAATGTTTCATGTTTAAATTGCTGCACTACTGAAGATATTGAGTGAATTCTGAATCGTAGCCAATGTTTTTAACACCTTCTGGTCTCAACTGTATACTCCCTATAAACAAATCAGCAATATTTAAACTTCTGCTATGGGCCTGATTATTCGTGATAATATTGTCATTACTTAAAGCGGACCTTTACCCATATCTTTAAATAACTTTTAGATTGTAAGCCTTACCATCTTAAAAATTGTATTGTGATTGTAATATCTTCCTTATATTGTAAAGCTCTGCTCAACCTGTTGGCACTATATAAATCCTGAATAATAATAATAACAACCACCTTTAGAAATGTTTAGTAATGACAATCTACAAACATATACTTCTAGATTTTTGCCGGTTTTGTATTCTTTGCATACCGTATTTCTCTTTTCTTCCCCAGTCTTCTAA